AGAGGAATGAATCTTCTGCTAGAACATGGAACCATACGCCGCCATATATTTTGTCTTTTGTGCAAGTAGTGACCAGTGGAGCAAGGCCCTTAGGGCCGCTGCTCGTAGGAAAACGAAACAAAAGAAAAGAGAGAGCTACGGTAGCAAGTAGTTGTAATTGTGACCCATAACTGCTGGAAAGCAGACCTGACTTCAGATCCAGAACATATATTGCTGGCCTGCTTCGCTCTCACACGAAATTTGCCGAACGTCTCTTGAGATATTTGACCCTTGCAGATGCACTGCTGGGGTCCTTCGGGAAAAAGACTATTCAATAAGGAATATGTGGGCCAATTTTTTTTTTCTGTCGTCCTCCTCTCTTCTTGTCTTCCTCCTCCTCGTCTCCTCCCCCTCCTCCTCCTTTTTGGGTTATTTATTTTTTATTTGGTCCACTTCCCCATTAATGCGTGTCATCTTGGTGCAGGAGCCATGCTAATCTTGCCCTTGGGAGATTCATTAACATTGGAAGGAGAAGATTAGCATGGCCCCTGCACATGGATGACATGCTTTAACTGAGAAGTAGGAGTAGAGGCGTTTTTTTTTTTTTTTTTTTTTTCCCCAGACAATATAGGGGATCCGGACCAGGATCCGGACCAGGGGTCCGGACTGGTCCGGGAATTCCGGAATATTCCGTTTTTCCGGAAGTCTGGATGGCCCCGGGAGGTCCGGGGTCCGGGGTCCGGGGTCCGGAATCAGTCCGGTGTCCAGTCCGGCGTAGCTATGGATAAAATTGGAACGATACAGAGAAGATTAGCATGGCCCCTGCACAAGGATGACATGCATAAATCGAGAAATGGTCCAAATGTTTTCAAAAAAAAAAAAAAAAAAAAAAAAAAAAAAAAAACAGAGAGAAAAAAGCTGTGTTAAACTCCGGGCAGCCCGGCGGCCCAGCCTCCGTCCGGCAGGGGTCCCGGGTGGCCCGGCCGGTTGGGTTCCCCGGTTTGACGCCGGTTTGACGCCGGGCGGGCCCAGCGCATTTTTGCGCAGGGCGGCGGGGAGGCCTTTTTCGCTGCTTTTTCGCGCTTGGGAGCCTCCCCGCCCCGCTGCACAAATTATTCCGCCGATTCCACGTTTGGTCGGGCGGCCTTCGAATTCGAACGTGAGTTCGTGCTGCCCGCCAAGGAGGTTCCCGCCGCTGCCCACCAAAGACGTTCCCGTCGCTGCCCGCCTTCGCCGAGCTGCCCGTTGTCGATGCCCGTCGTCGATGCCCGTCGTCACTGCCCGCCGCCGCTGCCCGTCGTCGCTGCCCGTTTCCCAGCTCGTCGTCGCTGGCCGCCGTCGGAAAGCTGCCCCGCCGTCGTCGATATGGTACCGTTGCGCGAAGTGCCACGTGTCAGGCTCTCTCTCTCTCTCTCTCTCTCTCTCTCTCTCTCTCTCTCTCTCTCTCTCTCTCTCTCTCTGTGTCTCTCTCCTCCTCCTCCTCCTCCTCCTCCTTCGT